TTTTTTTTGGTTTTGCCAAAGAAACCAAACCCCTAAAGTACAGCTCAAAGCCGCACATCCTTAAATGTATAATTAGATGTAACTTCTCCTGACACAGCTTCTCTTAAACACTGCAAGACTTAGCATTGTGGATCATGAGTGACTTACACAGAATACCTACAAACCAGACAAAAATGACCTGAGACAGCAGTACAAGCTGAAGAGGGGCAGGGGACTCAGCAAAATGGTCTGTTCTGTCTATGCAGGTCTCTGCACACTTCACGATGTATGGAGGCATGGCTGCATGCACTTTTCACTCAGTGTCTTCCCTTTAAACAGGAGATGCAGGTACAGTTGTCATCAGTCCTGGAAGGGATACTGCATCATAAAAAGCAGAGGCAGGGTACTAACGCCATGTCAGAATCACATGAATTGGGTTACAAATGTGCAGCTCTGACCCCTGCAGTGTTTAGAACCAGCTACTCTGCATATGCAGTAACTGTATATGTGCAGGGAATTTCATAAAATGTTATGTGGGTATGTAGAGATTTTAAAATTCACTTCCATGGAAAGAATAACTGGTATTACCTCTATGAGAAACATGCAAATTATTTCTAGTGACCACACTTCCCACTGAAATTTTCAGTTTAATCAATGCAGACATTGTTTGCCTACAATCAGATTCAGTCCACAGTCTGTAACACTGATTTAGAAAGATCACTTGCTGTAGCTTGAGTCATGCAAAACCTAGGACTTATCCCTGAAATTATCTAACGCTACTGTGAGTGAAGCAATTGTGCTGCTTCCAACATCAGCAGAGGGAATAGCCATTTAACACTGCACTTCAGGATGCAAATTTAAAACAAGCAGCTGCCTCTCACAGTTACTCCTGCCAACTAAGTAAGGCTATTTAGCAACTTGCCTGCAGCAACCAAGATTGCTGGTTCTCTCCAACAATTCAGGATTCTCAGATATTCAGGTTCTCTCTGCCTCTTCCCCACCATCAAGCCTTTTAACTGGTCACTCTAACAAACAGGGTGTTTTGTTTGTTGTTGGGTTGTTTTGTTTTATTTTTAAATGCTAAAGTTCAACACTTAGTAGTGCTGTTACTACCACAAATAGGCAACCTCCTTAAAAAACTGAGAATGGATTTCAGCAAGAGATACTGGGAATGTAGGCTGCTTGTCCAGTTGTGGAACTGTCTGTACAGAGATGTCAGTTTTGCTTTTGTTTTTACGCAACTGTTCATGATTCTCTGATGAAAGGCACTGTAGAAGTTTCTAAAAATACCATGTTGCCAAACAACCTTTCCCCCTTCCCTTCCAGGCAATCTCTTTAGACTGCTGTTTTTCATCAGCCTGCAGAATCACACAAGTCAGCCCAGTCCTACTTAAATGATTCATAAATCCAATTACATCTGCTTCTTTAGGTAGTAAACGGGGCTCTAACAGATTCAACATTCAGGAACAGAGGATGTGTAGGTACCTGACCTCTGACTTTCTAACTGCTCAGGAGCTACATGTGGTTCAAACGTGCAGCTCTCCACTGGGGTTAAGCACACATAAGGCACAGTGATATCTGTCTTGAGGAGACTGAAGAATTGAAGCCATGAATACTATCTCTGCACTTGTTTCCATATGTAGAAGTGAATGCCTTGGAGTGCTACCAAGATGGTGCTGACAGGAGACTAAGGAGATGCAGCCAGGTTCTTAACAGTGCTGCGTGGTGGGAGGATAGGAGATTAGGAGCAAAAGTTCAAACAAGAGAAGTTCAGATGTATGTAAGGAGAAAAAAGTTTCCTCATGAAAGTAGCCAAGCCAGGGACTCAGTGCAGAGAGGTTGTACTGATTCTGTCTTAGCAGGTTTGCAAACATTGGCTGGCTGAAGCCTCGAGCAACCTGTTCTGATCTAACAGCTGACCCCATTTTAGGCAAGAGGTTGTGCTAGAAACCTCCTGAGGTCCCCTTCCACCTGAATTAGCCTATCATTCCTGGGTTACTGCATGACTCAGGTGCCAGCTTAAAGCAGAGTGACATGTTCATTATCCAGCCCCTTGTCCCCACTTCCAAAGTACAGCTTGTACGTATGCAGCTTGCAAGGTCTGGTATGGTGGCCATCTCTGGCCTAGTCTAGGGATGTTCAGCTATATACACTTTACATGTTTCAAAGCAGCAATTCTAAGGATGTTATTTTAGACAGCACAGATGACCCTGGAAGAAACAGAGAGCAACATATACAGCATCCCCCACTTCATGTAATTTCTTCTGGGGTAATCAACAGTACAAGATCCTCTCTGGCTCATATGGACACCTATTTTGATGTTCTCATTGTAAGATTATTTTTTTTTTTTTGCTAAACCTAGACATACAAATTTACCTGGACACTTCAACAAAATTTAAAACATGCAAACACTGTTATGTGCTGAACAACTAGAAAAAACACTAGAGATAGTAACAGTATGAAATACAGTAATATAGTCTATTTTCCTCAAAATCTACTACGTCTCATACATCACAACTTTATTCTGCTAAAACCAGAAGACTGCTTGTTCTGTTGTTGCTACTTTGCAAAGAATACGTGAGTTAGAAAACACAGCTGTATAGCACATTTCACAGGATAGAAAGTAGTGTAAGAATATGCAGAGGTGTTTGATAATCAATAAAAACTATAGTGGGGTGAATAAGAAACACAGTCTATTTATTCTAAACACATTTTCACTTGTACAATGTTTTAAATTACACTGCAGTGTTTTAAAAACTAAACTGATAAGGCAAGCAAATGAAATAGCATGACTTATTGCTAGGGAGTGAAACAGGCACTTAACAGTGACTCTAGAGTACAGGCTATGAAAACTGAAGCAACTTTCTCTGGCACAAACACTTTGACCTCTATTAATCTAAGAAGCTGAAAAATCCCTAATATTGCTATTCTAAAGAATGAAATAATGAAGTAGTTTAAACAGGTCCAAATCACACAGGTGTGTACTGCTTTTCTCTTCAAACACCATAAAAAATTGCATATTGACACTTGAAAGAAAAATCTCTTCCCCACCCCCAGCTTGCTCATTTTAAAAGGAGGGCAATGCACTGAGCACATTCTGTCTGAACACACATTTTGCTTACATCTAATTTCCTTCCTGTCTTCTCCATGCTTCTTGGTTACTCTTTTCAAGGCTGTGAAACAATCCTCTGCTTTAAGCAATTTATGTGCCTTCCCTCACTTGAAGTCAAGCCCTACCACATCAAAAACATTACCAAGTTAAGTAACCGATAGGGCTCAAATTAAGGTAACACAGAAAAGAAAACAAAGATCCCATTCTCATGGAGATCATTATACTTATTAAGAGCAAGCAGAAGAATATGCAGAATACGCAAGACATAACATACACAAAACTTCCCTGTTAATTTTTTCTGATACAGAGGTTAATTTAAAAAACAAAGCTCCAGGCAGCAGTTCTTCAGCCAACTGAGTCCTTTAGAACACTAAATCTGTGCTTCAAAGCTCTGCCTCTCTCCATCCTATTTATAATGGCAACCCTCCTGCCGACGAGCTCATTAACAAACAAAGCAGTTCTGCATCCCTATTCAGTAATAGCAAGGTCCCAGAGGTACTATGCTCACTTTTGAGTGCTGTTTTTCAGGAAGGACCGAAATGAGCTGGTCAGAGTCCAAGGGAGAACAGTAACAATCATCAGGGAAAAAGCAGACAGACACAGCCGTTCACTCGACAGTTCCACAATCCCTGAGGGCCCACAGGCAAGGTGTTTAGATGCAGCTTTACTAGTTTCTACTAGAAGATACTTATTTCTGGAGTTTCTTTTGCTAAGAAAGTATCTTGTAGGAAGTATCTTGCAAGTATCTTGCAAGTACCCACATTCCCTGGTATAAGGCTGGCATACCATACCATATCCGTGAAAGTTTCTCTTTTTCAGAAGAGCTTGCTGGAGAATTCAACTGGGACACTGCTGCCAAGCTATGCTTCACTAATATTCTTGTATTGCATTTTCCCACACACAGTGCCCTAAGTGAACAGGGCCTGTTTATTTGTTATTTTATATAAAGACTTTTTTCCCTCCTTTTTATCATGTCTTTAGATTTGGATTAATCTCAAATTAATATTTGGATTAATCTAAAATTAATAAATCTAGCATCCTCTCCCCTCACTCCCAGAACACTGAACTAACAGGTAAGTACATCTGATTAAGTGTATCACAAATTAGAAAGCCAGTACAAATGATTTCCACATTTCAAAGTAAATTACTAAAGCAGCAATAGCTATTAATCTCTCAATAATAGAAGTCAATTACAGCTCTGTGACACACCACCATAAAAACATTTAGCTCTCTTAAAATTGTCATCTGTTAATGACTTAGAAAAAACAAGCCAAGCATGTTTCACCAACACATAAAACTAAGGATGCATTTAATATTCTCTCTGGAAGCATTTGAGAAGGTTTCTACAGCAAAGTTGAGATGCCAAGAGGATTACATTTACCTTAATGATACACTGTAAGAAAATATGCAGCAAAACAACTCTCCCTCTGTGTGGCTATTCTGTTTCCCAGGACTCTACTGAGTCACTAAGCAATTCCTATTAATACTACCCTCCCTGCTTGAATTTATTTATCCCCAAATCCATACTAAATATTTATATCTCCTGTGGACATCACCACAGATTAAATCCATTCTTTACCAGTGTTTAACTAAGAAATGAACCAGTACAGTCCTGCGCATTATTATTTGCATTACTTTAGCAGAATACTGAGTTCACTGCAGGAGTTTCTCCTCCTCTAGCGGCCTGTTCTAGATCACAAAGCTTTCAGCAAATGTACACGTGCTCATTCTAATTAGTCTGGGAGTCCAAAAGAATTAGTTCCAATTTCAGTATATTAATCTATTAATCACAGTTTCTTAAAAGCTTTAAAAAACATAGCTAAAAGAACAAACATTCTGGCTAGCACATGATGAGAATCTGTTGTTTTAAACTAATGGCCAGTTCTAACTAATGAAACTTGACTAGTACCTTCTGAGGAACAATGATTTTTGAATGTCTCTGTCTACTCTCTGTGAGACGCTTTGGGCTCGATGTACAGCTGTGCTCCCAGTCCCACTCACAAGGAGATGGCAGTGCAGTAGTTTGCTCCCTGAAAAACAAAGTTTCATTTCAGAAATATATAATCACAAAAGAATGACTGTGAAACCTGGGACACTGACGTCCTAGATATAAAGAAGATATAAAATACACATCCCTGGTTAGTTTGGCATGCTTTAGCTTTCCTGGGAATCAAGTGGAAACAGTACTTAAAGAAGGGAGACACTCAGCAATATTTACACTTGCAGCAATACTGCAAACTTCCATTCAGTCACTATCCTCATGAGGCATTCGTGCAAACCTGCACAGCAACCAGCAATGCATTTTTAGTCTTAGTGTGATGGCTTCGTTTGCATTGAATTGTACAAAGTTAAACTGGTAAGAACATTGTTCTTACTGAGGTTATGCTCAAGGTACAGATACATGCACTCCATTACTTCAACTGGTAACTTAACAGTTACTGAATGATAGAAAAGAAGCAATTCCCAATGTAATTTTCAATTCCTTCCCTTGCTCAGGGGCCTCAGCTACCCCTCTTCTGTACAAGCAGTATGTTAGCTTCCATTTGGCATCCATGTCACAGGGCTCCTCCTCTATTTCATCTCTTGTCCCAGCCCTTGATTATCCCATGTAGGAAAACAGAAAAAGGACGGTTTAACTAAGATGAAAGAAGAACTTTTGACAGAAATAGAAACAGAAGCCAATGGTTAGGGTTTCCTCTTTGGGCTTTGTTTTTAAAATAAAACAAACATGCATCTTGATCATCTGAATTCCTCTCAAAGAACACCTTTCCAAAGTCTTCCATCTTCAAAGAAGGAATAGAGCGAGACTTCCCTGGAAGAATATCTTAGCTGTACTTGTTGGCTTAACTTTTTTTTTTACCTCCAGTGTATATGTTTGGCTTTGGTTTTGGTTTTTTGGGGGGTTTTGTTGGTTAGTTGGTGTGTTTTTTTTTTTTTTTGGGGGGGGGGGTGTTTGGTTTGGTTTTTTTTGTTTTGTTTTGTTTTTTTTTTGGTGGTGGTGGTGTTTGCTTGCTTCTTTTAGTCTTGTTAATACTCCATTACCCATTTATAGGTAGCAGGAGAGCCGTAAGAGATACTGAAAGAATTCTGCAGAACTTCACCAATTATCTGCAAGTCTACCCCACATTTTATTGATGCATAGTGTGCGGCACCCCCTTTTTCCTGAGCAGAATCATAATGAGGTCCAAGATTAAAAAAGCAAATATAAAACTTCTAACATATTTTTAAAATTATATTTCATTGCAGATGAACTTCTTAAAAACTTAAGAAATGTAAGCACCTGCCAGACATCACACTGGTGAAGCTAGGAGGTCTTTTCCCCTGCCTGCTGATTCTTCCAGCATAAAAGCATCTTTCTGAAAGTAATCAACTGCTGTTTTAAATCAAGGCATGATTTCAGAAGTCGCACAACAAAAGGATGCTTAATACGAGTTTCTGTGAACAATAAAGAGCAGCAAGAGCTACGCTGTATATTATGAACAAACATCAGCTTTATTGTTCAGGCTGTGCATGGAACACTATTCTGGAAGCTGCAGTAAAGTTACACAAGCAAGCCAAATCCAAAACTATTCTGCCATCATTTTGCCCCTGCATGTAGATGCCAAAAGTTATGAAAACTGATTTGTCACAGAAATCTCATCACTATTCCAAGGAAAATGGAAGTAGAAAAACCCCACACTTTGTAATACCTTTCATATGGAAATGGAAAGGAATGCCTTAGCAAAACAAAGTATTTGCCTTTCTGGCTTTCTTTAGCACCTTAGCCTGGGTTTTTAATCAGAATTTTCACAACTTTCAAGAGATGGCACTGAAGCTAGCACCACAATAATGTTGGGTTTTTTTTAATTTGAAGAGATGACTAAGAGAAATAAAGGAAGCATATAGGTTAAGCATGCACCTGGATTTGCGCAGTGGGATAATGACAGATGAGGACCTCTATATCCTGCATTCAGTATTAGGCTTTGGCAGGTGCCTCATATTTTGTTGTTTTTTTTTCCCAACACATACACACTTCTAAACCACTTTTTTTATAGCAGCGTGACAGGGTACCTCCAGAAGTCAAGCTATAAGCTGATGTTTAGCAAAGTCAGTTATTAATTTGCTTGTTCCAGTTATACAGAGTAAGCATTCTGCAGCTACAAAAAAAAGAACAGTGCTTTTTCTTCAACTCACAGTTTACCACAATTGTTGGTTACCAACCTCTAGTTCCCTGAAAGTTTTAATGAAAACATAAAAGGGATCCCTCTTACAGTCCAATGACAACACCTTTCCTGCTTTTGTGAAATGGCTGGAATGGCAAACCCAAACATAATCCACATACGTCTTAACCAGCTTGGAATTCCAAGTGCGCACAACAATCACATTAACTAAACCTCTCCCTTCCTGAAAGGAGGGAGATGCCCTATAAAGCATGCTGGAAATAAATCCAAATATTAACAGGGTAGTGTCTTTTGCACTTTTGATAATGACTTACACTCAGTAGTAGATGGAAGTGAAGCAGTCCCAGTCACAAAACAAAAAATAATGAATACTACAGTTAATAAGTTTCATTTTTAGACAGCTTGTTTCAAGCTGTGACTGTGGCCAAACAAACCTACTTGAAAACAAAGAGGAATTTTGCAGGAATGTACCATTACTTTCCAACCCAGCTTCTCAAAAGTATCAAGAGCAGTCATGTACCGTTTAATCAACATGCAAAGAGTGGCTGCAAAATTCAAACAGATTGGCATGTAGATAACTTACATGAAACAATTAAAGGAAGTCACAGTCTAGGACACTACAATGTCCTGTGTCCAAATACACTGTACTAACAACTAACAACAGATTTTTAACAAAAAGCCCTACAAGTACTCATTAACACAGTATAAGAAACTTAGGACCAACTTAAAGAATACTTATATTCATAACAGGGTGGAAACTGTTGGCACCAGCATATATTCTAAACTAGTTTTTGCTCGTTTGGTGATAAAACTATAAAAAAAAAAATCATATGGTGAACTGCATTTTAATTGCTTCTACTGTTGCTGCCACTGCTAAGAGGAAGTGCTCTTGTGAAAAAATTACAGGACAAATCTGAGTTCAGTTATAGCCAGTCAATGTTACTTCTTTGAAGTCTTACTAAACATAAAACTATTCCAAACCAGCAGAAACACTAATTGTGCTTGAACAAAAGCCTCTGACATTTTGCACTCCTCTGCAATGTCTGAAAAGCATTCTAATGTACAACAAAGAGACTAGAAGGGCTGTGAAGAAGTAGCATCATCTATTGATGCTACTTACACAGGAGGAGGTGGGAAAGAGCGACAATCCCCTTTCACACGTTTAAGTTTTTGAGGGAAACCTTTGTGAACAGAAAGAACTTTCCAAACCCTAATAATCAAGTTGTTTGATACAAGAAAGCACTCTCAATTTTTTTTTAACAAAACCAGAATGCTTGGTATTTCACATTTTGAACAGTAGTAGCATTAATTTACTTCTCTCATAATAACTGAAGCTTTCCTTTAGGGAAACAGTATTCCTAAATATGATGAACTCCTGCTTCCTGTCAAAGAACAACAGTTGCACACACAGAGAAAAGTGATCTTCCACTTTTAGAAGGTGCTAGCTCTGTCATGGACAAAATTATATATTTCTTAAATGATGGTGAAGGGGAACACACATGTACGCGCACCAGGTTAGTAGGAAGCAACAAACACAAAACAACCATTTATTTTCATTCTGTTGAGTATACACCTGCTTGTCCTTTGTGTTCTTTAGCAAACTTCTGATTTGGAAACAACACATTCTCCTACTTATTCTACTGGTCAAGGACAAGAAGGACACATAAATCTCCAAAGAAACCACCAAGTTCAACCACAGCTGCAGAAGATACACCATTTGGAAGGTACAAAAAAAGATTAAATGTTTTACAAATGACTCAACTCTCTTCTGCTAACAAGTTTTAAAATTGCATGTATCAAGGTGAGGACAGGTTTTCCCGTAAGTACATACTGATTGTTTTTTTAACACTTACCCTGGATGTTGCCACAGATTTGCATGTCTACCCTCAGGAAGCAGTTCCCTCTTGTTAAGGGGAGTAATACCTATCGCTGCTTCTAAAATAGTTATGTATTTCTTGTACCGCATCCTGCCTCTCTCAAGAGTTCCACCACGTTAAATTATCATCCAAATGTAGACGCTGCAACTGAAGTCATGCCTCTTCACTTATCTTAGCACTTCTCCCTCATGTTTTTTAAAACACGATGTGAGTCTGAAGCATAGAAGTAAAGCTTTTTCCTCTCCCAGGCTTGGGGACTTATTAGGAGAGAGAAACCAAAGTAAAACTCCTACCAGATTCCCCAAAACGTCACTGTTATGTAACTCAATCTTTGAATAAGACACTAATGAAAATGACTGAAGAGACAATCACAGTTCTAAGCCTGGCCGGATAATGCACACTCTCCAATTGACTAATCCTTTGCTAAATCTCCACTGTCTATAATCTTTCAACTGCTAATGGAGCACTAGGTAACTCCTCTGTAAAATCCAACCAGAGAATAATAGAGATCTGCACAGGAAACTTGAGACTGCTTTAGACACTGTGATGGACAACAACAGGTTTTGTTTCAAGTTTTTTCCTCAGCACCACAAAGCTCTGTACATGGGAAGTGTTACAAGAGATTTATCTGATCTGTTCAGAACAGGCATGGACAAATTTCCATACGTGGCTTGCACAGCATTATGAAAGACAAGAGACTTCCATTATGATGCCTACTTGTCATTCAAATATGCCTCACACAATGCCAAAAACACTTCCCATGTCAAAATCGTTCTAGCCATGAGGTAAGTAATTGTACATGCCAAAGACCTCAGGCACTAACTACAAAGGAGGAGACAGATGTACATGCTGAAGTAACATTGACATTTTGGAAATCCTGCAGTACTGTCAAACTGCAGTATTAAGAGAGACGTACTTGATTGCAAAAAGACTAAGGAAATTGTGTTGTAATGCTACTTAGATCTGAGATAGTAAAATATGAATTATTTACAT